TGCATGTGTATGTGTCTGAGATTTAGGGTCAGAGTGCTGTTTCACATCACATATGACATTTTGCCCCATGAGGACTGTATAGAAGACGGTAGTGGCTCTCAGCACAGCATTATATACACACATTGAGTTCTCCTTGAGCATTTTGGTCGATGAGAAACTTAACATGAGCTGGCTTCAGTGTGTGCTCACAACCCAGAAAGCCAACTGTATCCTGGGCTGCATCAAAAGGAGCATGACCAGCAGGTTGAAGGAGGTGATCCTGCCCCTTTACTCTGCCCTTGTGAGACCTCACCTGGAGCATTGTGTGCAGTTCTGGTGTCCTCAACATAAAAAGGACATGGAACTGTTGGAACAAGTCCAGAGGAGGCCACGAGGAAGATCAGGGGCTGGAGCACCTCCTGTATGAAGATAGGCTGTGGAAGTTGGGGCTATTCAGCCTGGAGAAGAGAAGGCTGCGGGGAGACCTCAGAGCAGCTTCCAGTATCTGAAGGGGACCTATAGGGATGCTGGGGAGGGACTCTTCACTGGAGACTGTAGTGACAGGACAAGGGGTAACGGGTTAAAACTTAAACAGGAAAGTTTAGGTTGGATATAAGGAGGAAGTTCTTTACTGTAAGGGTGCTGAGGCACTGGCACAGGGCGCCCAGAGAAGCTGTGAATGCTCCATTCCTGGCAGTGTTCAAGGCCAGGTTGAACAGAGCCTTGGGTGACATGGTCTAGTGTCAGGTGTCCCTGCCTATGTCAGGGGTTTTGGAACTGGATGATCTTAAGGTCCTTTCCAACCTTAACTATTCTATGATTCTATATGAAAGTGCTAAATCACTCATAGCCCCATCAGAAAAATGCCTGTTACTACTGACTGTGTTTAGGACCTGATAATTTTAATGATCAGGTATTTACTTTCCTGTAGAAATCTGGCTTAACTGAAGCAATACCTTGGTGACATCCTGTGTTCTGTATGATGCTCTAAGCCTTTACATTTTCACCTCCTCCAATGAACAAGTGTTTAACACCTGCCCAGATGCTGCTGCTAATGGAGCTGCAGGCATTTGCATGACAGAATATTCCATGGCACTGACTTGTTCTTGCCTCAAATTTGGCCTTTTACATAAAGAACTAAAGTCAATAGGAAGTGGTGGCAGTAAGGACTCAGCTCTGGTGTATCTCTGTATTCATGGACCCATCTAGCACAAGTCAGGATGCAGTAGCTGAGAGCAGGACACTTGTGCTTGGTTATTTCTTAAAGAAAAGAGGAAGAAGCAAACAAAACCACCCAAAGCTTGCATGGGATTTGTCCGCACAGGCTGAGAGTCCTGCTTGTCCTCTGAATACAACATCTGTCCTTTCTTTCCCTATTTAGAAGCTCAAGGAGCTCTTGTAAACTCTTCAGGAGTCAAGAGATGTTGCTTTCCAAAAGAAGCAAACAGCTGTGAAGCTAGTGAGGATGTGATGCAGAAGAATGATCTTGGGACTTCATCTCTCAAGACGACACAGCTCTTCTGGCTGTCATGATGCTCTCTTTAGAAGCCAGTTTGTCCTCACTAACATGCCAAAGCTACAGTATCTGTGGGGCACAGAAGTAGATGAGCAAGGCCCATGTCCATGCGGTGGGGCTTCACAGAGAGTTGTTAGGGTGAAAGGATGGCAGTTCAGATTGCATGATTGACTTCTCTTGAGATGATCAGCAAAGAGACTGGAGCAGCTGAAATCTGAGTACCTCATTCCCCTGGGCCTCCTTTTTGGGTTACTGCCATAACAGCTACTCAACTTGCTAATGAGGCAGTGTAATGAGTGATGTTCATTACTCAAACATAATGCACATACAATCAGCAGTGAGTCTCTCAGTTGGCGCTATTCAGCATCATAGCCTAACAGGATTATCAAGTTCTTAAGGCCAGGAAGGAATGATTTTTTCCCATTCAACATGAAATCCTGTGTGGGCCCATCTTAGGAACTGTGCTTGTCTTCCAAGCTGTCATCTGTAAGGCTTCATAGGAAAGTGGCCTACCGAAGGGGCTTGCCAACATAAGGGAGCTTCTAGGCTCAGATATATAAAAGCTGTTTTGGAACATCATGAATGAACATTGGTCTCAGAGAGTAAACACCTGAGGAGGTCATCCACATGGATCCCCTGAGGACTCAGAAGGCTGATGAAAGCTGCTTTGAAGGTGTTTTCCATTTGCTTGCAAGCTGCTAGACAAACGGTTCCCTGGGGAGGAACTCGCCTCTTCCTGGGAGGAGCAGATTGGGGAAAATAAGAAGAAAAAAACACAACAATAATCTTCTTTCTTTCCTTTACTGTTTAGATCTTGTCACAACAGAGGCTCAGGAACAGGTATGCACATCAGGCCTGGGTTCATCCTACCTTGTCTTGGACATTTCAGATAGTAATGTAGTGAGCCCAAGCAACCCCTTCAACCACAAAATAGACTACAGAAAGTAACTTCCTGCCCTGATCCCAAAACTTCCAGGAACAATGTCTTTCACCATATGGGCCTTTTCCTACAAGCACAGTTGTGAATAGTGATTTAGATTGATGAAAGGACCAAAGATATTAGCAAAGAGGAATTTAATACAATGCGATAGAAATGCAACTTAACAAAGTTTGGTAGCAAGGTTCACTCTATTAGTTACTACATGTGAGAAACATACAAAGGAAAATCAAGTTAGAATCAAGATAGAATAATTTACACAGACATCAGAGGTGCAAAAGGGTAAGCAAAACCATCCCATTGAATCACAAGGTTCAGAATGGAATACTAGGCACAGGGAGGTCCAATCTTAGTCTCAGACTTGGACAACATTTAATGTCTAATGGAATTCTCTATAGAAAGTTTAGAATAATTAATACTGAGTAGCTACATGGACTAGTAACATTTCATTAGTATTACTTCAACATGCTGTCAGTCACTTACCAAAGATCTGTTGAGAATAAGGGGTACCTCCACCTTGGGTAAGAAAGGATCATTAAATCTCAGGTTAGGAATTTCGAAGCTTGAGAAGTGTCCCTGCTCAAGGGGAGAGTTACCTGGCATTCTGCTCAGTTGCAATTCAGGTAGAACTCAAATTAGGCTCATCCAAAGATCTGTTGTTAGTAAAAGGCCTCTCGGGCACTTTGAGAGGAACCCAGATCAAGGAGGGATCACTTCCTAGCAGAGAGAGCTTAATGAAAGCTCACTTAAGCCGTCATATTTATGGGATGAAGTGACGCTCATAGTCAAATTGCATATGATAGGAAAGGTGGGCATGAGACCCCTTGTACCCACAACTTTCTTCCTTGATAAATGAGTCTTGGAAAACCCAGCCACTATTCATGTGTTAATTGCATGGTTGGTGTTCCAAGCTTATACACATCGATGCTCACTGAGTCACTCTGCTTCTTTGTGGGTTTGCTAGGGGAGTTCTGCTATAGCTCACATCTTTGGCTCCTTTGGAGCCTGTACTACTCTAGGTTTGGTTAAAGTGTTGAGTGCATCCAGCACAGCAGCTCAGGGGAAATGCTTTCCATTTTCTTCCCAGTTTTCCAGCATAGCAGCCAAAAAGTATGACATCTTATATGTGCAATGTGCCTTATTAACCACTGGTACAATGTGACTGGGCTTCCTCTATGCAAGATCATGGTGCATGTACATGTGTTCTCTGTTTGCTCCATGGATATCACAGGGTCATAGGACAGTGCAGTGCAGGGGGAGTCCTTTCCAAGCTGAGAAATCCACTGTCCAGCCCCTTGCAGCCACACTGTGTTATGATTGCAGCACAAACCAAAACTACCTGTGCATAACACTGAACTCCTGCATCCACCACGTCTTGACAGAGCTGTTATTTACAGTCCCATGCACACAGTAGGGACAAGTGGTCCCACCTTCCATCTCCTTTTGATGAGAAGAAGCAGGACGTACCTCCTGACTCATCCCTAGGGCTGTGACCCAGGGTTTGGGATCTCCTGCCCTCCCAGCCCATCACCTCGTCTGCTGCCTGGTGGCTAGCATTTCCCTTCTGCCTGTTAATGCTATAGGATCATGGCATGGAAGATGTAGAAACACCCCTGTAGGAAGGATGGAGAAACTCTGGGGCTCACCATGAGGTGCTGCTGATTGAAGAAGGGTTGGATCATGGCTCAGAGATGGGCGATCTGGGTTAAGAGCCTCCAGGCAGCCCCACACCTCTCCAGTCATTTCAGCTCTTTCAGGATATCTTGTTCATTTCAGTCAGACAAAGAGAAGTCATTACAATCTGTGGACCTACTGGGCTTTGGATCAAGCCTTTAGAGAGCAGCAGCCCTTGATCTGATTTGTCAGACCCCTAAGCCTCCTGCATCCTGCCTGTGAACCTAAAAACTGTCAAGGAAGTGATGGAGCAGAGATAGGGAGATAAGGACACATTTTCTTGATGAAGAATTTCAGGTATTCGAGGATAAACACCAAGAAAATGAATAATCTCCACCTAGATTCATTTCTTGTTATCTTTAATGAGTGATATCCTTCACACCCTCATCCACTGAGCCATGCTGCTGCTTGCAGCCTGCCTGGTAATACAGGAGGTGGCAGGGAAATCCAGCTGAAGTTGACATTGGCTTTGCAGGTGTGCAGTCAGGGTAGCATCAGCATTATCCTGGCTCCACTGGAAACTATAACCCAGCATCACTGCCTTCAGCCAATAATGCTGCCAGATCTGTCCCTCACATCATATGATATTTGGAAGGATGCATCAAGGTTTGGGTTAAAGATAACTGCAGAAAAGCAGGCTGTGCTGCATAAAGAAAGGAACTCCTCATGCCCTGGAAATGTGCATCATAAAGGGAAGTATTCTGGGGGATGTCAAGAAGCTAAAAGCAAAAGATGCACTCATGGGACAAGTTTGGCCCTGGGCTATGGATATGCCAGAGTAGACAGCCAAGGTGTCAACTTGTGGGTCCAGGAGAGGTGTTTCCCAGCACCCGGGCGCGATGCAAAGCACATGTGGGGCGCGGGCAGGGGCGCTGGTAAAAAGCAGACATGGCCGGAGTTTGCACCTCTTTTATTAGAAATAAGACACATTCATTTTGTGCTCTGAAAACTGTACAGAAAAAATAACTGACGAACACGGAGAGGAGGAAGGGGAAGGCATGGCATGGGGCAGGGCATGGGAGAACAGAATTAACCGGAGGAGCTGAGCAGAGAAAGTCGAAGAGCAACAGTTATTAAACAAACATTGATCTCTGTAATTACATATCACCGTTAATGTCCTGCGAGTCGGCTGGAGTGAATGGGTGAATGGGGAAGGTGGAAGAGAAGAGGCTTGGTTGGGTAAGGGGAAAGGAGAGGGGGAAAAAATAGAGAAAAGAATTAAAACACAGTAGAAAGATATCTGTATGCTAAAATTCATAATGTGTAATTATAATAATTACAATATCATACAACCCGGCATCTGAGGGAGGCCTTTGTGCTTTCCTGTTTCATAGAGTAATCTAAAATTGAACAATAATATCACAGTTTTTTATAAGTAATCACTTTCCCTATTCTTTAAGCTATTTGGATTGTTTTTTTCTTTCCATCCTTTATATTCTACAGGTAATGGCAAGGTAAATGCCATTGAAGATCACCCAGGTGGCCCAAAGGAGAGTTTAAACAGAGATGTTGTCAAGCCAAGCAACACCTCAGTGGCAGAAGCACAACTGGGGGCAGTGATTGTTTTGCATTTTGAATCCATTGCTAGTTTTTCCCTAAAAATATTTTGGTTTTGTATTAATTTCTATCAAAAAGAGACCAAAACACACAGTAAGAACCCAGACCCTGATCAAGCTTTGCTGTCTGGCACAGTCTGGCCGCTTACAACCAGAGCTCTGCCACTGCACATCTCCAAAGCTGGGAGAGTTGTTCCAAACATCAGACAGACAGTGCTGGGAATGGTAAGAAAAATGAAGTCTGCTTGTAATGTTACTGGTATATTTATTAAATGATAGAAGTATTGCACTACATTGGGGGGGGGGGGGGGTGTGTGAAATATAGATACGTTGTTTTATGTAAATAGCTTTGAGAAATGTTTAATGACCAAAAAGAAATTAAAATTGTTATTATTTCTTTTCATGGTGAAATAAAAAGACAGTATTTTTTGATGAGGAATGTCCTGCTTTCCTGATCAGCTCCACCTCTTCCTTCTTGTAGGACCACAAACCTGCTTGCTGGCTCTGGGCAGTGGGGAGGGAGGAGAAGAGCCAGCCAGGGGATAATAACCAAAGCCTGAACTGAATAAAACAAAGCCAGCAGCAAAAAGGCTGTGTGTTCCCACCATCCCAAGCTTTCCATGGAGCAACTCTGCCTTCCACCTTCAGCAGGTGGCATGCTCACCCCTTGCCTGCGCAGTCCTACGGCACATAAAAGGCATTCGAAATGACAAGAGCCAAAGAAAAGAAAGGTCTCGGGTTTCAAGTTCTCTTTTTATTGAAGAAAAGAAAAGAAGAAGGAAAAAAATAGATTATTTTGTTTGTCTGTTCGTTTGTTTCCAAGTGGACGTTATTCGTGTTGTCAGTTTGTCTCAATGTCCTAAGGCAACATCTCTGTATACCAAATGTCTCCAGGTACATCGGCAGGTCTGTCTTTCCCTCTTTCTCTCTCTGCCTTCCAGGGAGGGGCAGCTTGGAATCAATCTGAATCCGAAAGCAAGGAAAAATAACAGAAAAAAAAAAAACAAAATAAAAAGGATGAGGCCAAGAGGACCTTTGCAAGGCCCGTGCTGAATTTATCTATTTAACAGTCAATGAAACGACCTACATTCTTCATGTTGGTCTGGTTTTCTAACACCTTCCACCCTCTCGTTCGAGACGGGGCGAGCAGGTTTGGGAGGTGGTCCTTTCCTCCTGTGCCTATCCCACTCCTTGGGGCACATGGAAGCTCTGCTGTGGAGGGATGAGAGGAGGAAACTCCACCTTATCTCTCCACTTAAGCCATGGATGATGCAACCACTTCCCCGTCCAGGACCCGCTGTGGGAGCGCCACTATGCCAGGTCACGGTGCGGCTCATCGGAGTGGGAATGTCTTCTTGGCCACCGTTTGGCGCATCCCGTCTCCTTCCTTCTCGAGTGAGCTGGTGAGGGAGAGGTGGGGGGCGAGGATCATCGAGGGATGCCACAGACCCTCAAGGCTGGGTCTCCCCAAGGGATCTACAGCGCAGCGAGGCTCCCGCAGGTGTCCCCTCTTTACGGTCTCCAAACAACCCCAATCTTCTTGGCCCTTTGCTGGGCATCTTTCCACACCTCCCTGTGGCAGAGCAGGAAGGCTCTCGGCGTGCAGCAGCAGCCCGAAAGCATCTCTGATGAGGGCTCATCCCCTGCAGCCCCTTCCCACCCTCTGCTTCCTCCTCGCTCTCTTCCAGGCTCACTTCTTTTCCAGTCCTACCTGGGAAAGCTCGTGTTGTCCTGAACCTACAGCTACTATACTCTATAAAGTAATATTCCCCCTCTCTGCTGAGAACAATACAAAAGTTACTCCAACCTTACCAAAGGTTTCAAAAGAAACCAAACATTTTTCTCGCTCGGTTCCGTTTTAATTTAATCATTTCTTTAAAACGTGGTTGTGTTTTGTTTGTTTCGTTTGTTTTCCAGAAAATAAGAGAGTCCCTTTCTTCCCTTTCCGCTCAGACCTCTGTCTGAAGGTCAATAATGTCTTGTCCCACCAGGGGAATGGTGGCCCCTGTTTTCTCCCACTCTACAGTTTTGAGTTCTAGGGGAGACTGTGCCACAGGTTCGATGTCCTTTTTAACCCATGATGGTGGGGACTGGACTTTCCTGATTCCTTCCCAGGGTCTCTTGTTTGGTGTCTGCTGTTTTTCTTGCTGCAAGAGGAGGGAAGTGACAGAAAAGAGAAAGAGAAAGAAAGAGGGGTTAGTACCCATGTAATAAATACCACTTTCACCTCTTTTTCTTATATTAAAGGCATTTTTTTCTGTGAAACTACTAATCCAAAAGCAGTGTTTCAATTGTACTTGGTGCGTAAACTGCCTATTTTTAGCAAGAAAATACAAACTTTTCCTTCCTCACTGCTATCTCTATCACCTAATGTCTCTACATTTTAGCTTTCAGCTGAGGGTTTTGCCCCTTGGATTTCCACTGAGAAACTGAGGATGGTTTTGAGACTTCAAGATCCTTTTCTACTTCTACCCAAAATCCCCACATAGAAATCCAGATTACAATGAGTTCTTTCTGAACATACACTGACTGCCTCTAATGTGAATACATTCCTTATGTAGCACAGCTATTTATAGGCTGTTTAATTGCAGCAAAACGTGCTAACTATTTTGCCAGTGAACCCGTGCTGCTTGATGGGCTGGCTTGTCAGCTCTGGAACTGAAAGCATTTCCATCAACTCCACACCAAACCTTCAAGGCTTTATCAACCACCATTAGCCCTGTCTTCCACCAGCATCCCACCATGGATAGCAGCCCGTAGCGGTTCATTGTTTCAGCCAGTACACACCAAGACAAGACTCCGGGGAGAGCTGAGGCTCTGTAATATAGGTGTACTTCTCAGCATTTATATAAGGGGGAGTCCATGCAAAGATGTTAAATCAGTTGTTCCATTTTCTCCCTGCTCCAGAAGTGATGCTTTTCACAGTTAATTATCCCCAGAAAACACTCCAGCACTGGGCAAGAAAAGACTTCCTCACACATGAGAGGAGCACAGATCCCTTTTGAGCTGCCTGTCAAAAGTAGTGGCTAATGGAAAGGAAGAGAGGAAAGGCAACTTCATGGAGGATGACAACAAGGAGATAAGAAGTCTGGGGAGGTGGTGAGGAGTCAGACGTGCAGGTGACATGCAGTCCAGATGTCTCACAGCTTGATGCTGTCACCAAAATGTATTTATTGAGGGGAGATGAAGCCACACGTAGGCTGCACTGGCATGATTGTACTCCAGGACACTGCAGAGATTGCTGTAGCAGCATAGGAAACCTAAACGCCCATCTGCTGCCTGCTAATCCACATACCTTGACTTCTGATTTTGGTCTCCTAAGAGACTTTTGTAAGGCTATTGTTTATCGCGCCTCCATACTGTAACACTGATTGACAGAAAAGGTGCTGTAGCATTGTTCTCAGTACAAGAAAGTGTTGAAGAGGGTCCAGCAAAGATGGTCAGGGGTCTGGAGCATATGTCATGTGGGGAGATTGCGGGAGCTGGGCTTGTTTAGAGCAGACTGAGAGAGGATCCCATAAATGCCCTGCAGGGACAGCGTCCATCACATCATCCAAGCCACAAACCTTACTTTTCCAAAAGTCCACCTTTAATATAAAAGTAAGTTTGAAGTTTCTCCTGTATCCCTGCAGTTGCTCACAGGGAGAAGGCTCTGGATGAGGTTATTTGGTGTCTAGAGAGTGGCAAATGTATCATAGAATCATAATCATAAAATCATAATCATAGAATCACAGTATGGTTTGGGTTGGAAAGGACCAAACGTACAAACCAGATAAACCTGGTCTTGTCAGTGTGAAATGAAATCATTGTGAAATTATCTTTATTTTGATTTAAAAGGAAAAAATAACTTTTTAAAAGTTATTTGAAAGAAAAGAAAGAACTGGTTTTTAAATAAATCAGTTGCCATTACTCTGCCATGATAAGATGCAGCAAGAACTTGCACGGAAAGACAAAAGCACGAATAGGACAAAACATGGAATGAAATTAAGAGTTTCCTAGCAGATGAAGAAAAAAAATTCTTGGTCTGAACCCTTCTTTTCAATGGACAAACATTTTCTTTTCTCCCGCACTTGCTGTAATGCCACAAGTTTTTGGAGTCATCAGTGTCCATAGCTGTATTACTTAAGAGAGACCATCACAAATGATCATATACATGAAGTTCATAAATAATTCCATCTTTCCCCTCAAACAAAAGCCCTTCTTTGATGGCATTATCCTCCTCCCAGACAAGGTCACAAAGATGCTCAAAGGGGTGGAGCAGCTCTCCTATAAGACAGGCTGAGAGAGCTGGGCTGGTTCAGCATGGAGAACAGAAAGCTCCTTAAGGGGAGGCCTTAGAGCAGCTCCAGTGCCTAAAGGGGCTCCAGGAAACCTGGAGAGGGGCTTTGGACAAGGGCCTGTAGGGACAGGCCAAGGGGAATGGCTTTAACCTGCCAGAGGGGAGACTGAGATGAGCTCTTAGGCAGAAGCTCTTCCCTGTGAGGGTGCTGAGGCGCTGGCACAGGGTGCCCAGAGAAGCTGTGGCTGCCCCATCCCTGGCAGTGTTCAAGGCCAGGTTGGACACAGGGGCTTGGAGCACCCTGCTCTAGTGGAAGGTGTCCTTGCCCATGGAAGGGGTTGGAACTGAATGAGCTTTAAGGTCCTTCCCAACCCAAACCGTTGTAGAATTCTTTATGGCCACCCTCAGCACACATTCTTCTATTCCCAACCAATCTCTATTTTAACAGTCCCTTTGTCTGCCACACTCCTGACCTTCAGCCTCTCCTTCATGCTCTGAGGATGAACCCAGATCTGATCATGTACACTGAACGTGATTAGCAGACCTCAGAGCTATTCTTGTCATGGGCTCCTTTTGTGCTATTGAGGGAAAGCAGCTGAAAATCCATGTAAGGAACAGAAACTAAGGGTGAAGGGGAAATGAACAAAGAATTATGAGCTCACATCTACAGCAATGGCCTCTGATCAGACCTGTCATCAGACTTGGAGGTTACAATAATTATTCAGTGGTAATAAATCTGAGACATTAAATGTTATGAATATTAAGAGTGGATAAATAAAGACAGGAATCATAGAGAATGGAACAGAAAACATCACTATGCCAATGTGTAACTCCAATCTGCATCTGCATCTGAAGTACTATGTGCACTTTGTGGTGTTCTTGATAGAAGGATATAGGGGAAGTGATGCGGGTAGCACTGTTTACAGCCATAAACAAAGTTATGGGCATGTTCTGTAGGAGGAAAGATTACACAGACTATGTCCTCTCAATCTGGAAAAGAGATTACAGATGGATATGAAAGTATTCTATGAAACTCTTAGGGGCTTGCTGATAGTAGGAATGAGGTACTCGTGGTAGGAACCATCTCTTCCAACACAAGAACTACAGAGCACAATGAGGCATCAAGCATTGCCTGGGCCAGAGTGAACCCAAGGAGCCAGTCCTGCACCCCCTGCACACAGTACCCAGACAAACTGCAGACCACCTTTCCACACCTCTCTACTGATGCTGAAAGCTTCCAAAGTTATAAAGGTACACGAAACATTCACAAAAGCAGCATCCAGTCAGTACTATGAAGTAAAGTGATGCCATTCTTCTTAAGGGGGCATTTTTGAAGATCCACTACCATATGCTCCTCCTGCTCTTTCATTTTTCCAAGCTGAGAAGGAGAGGAGCCAGGGCCAGACTGGCCTTGGGTCTAACCCTATATGGTTGTTTCTACCTAGATTATCACTGTGTTGTGTTATCTAGCTATGACTATGGTGGGTTTAATGATTCCAAAGTTGTCTATTTACAGTTAGAAAAGGAAAACGAGCCTCAGAAGATCAGCAAATGGAGAGGAAAGGCTTGTTTGTAGTTTCACACTCTCAGAAAGGAATCGGACTTCTCTGGTGATGATGTGAGTGGAGACACTACTCAAGGGTGGGATGCACTGGCTGTCCACCACAGAGCTCACACAGCTGCATGTAAGGCCATGATCCGAGCATGGGTGCAGAAGGATTCAGTGCTCTGAGCAGGTTAAATGCAATCAGCCAGGCTGAGCTCTGGCAAGGATGCTGGGAGAGAAAAGCAAATCTCCTCTTGGCAAGAGGCACCCTGGGAATTGGTAGCAGGCCTCTGGGAACAGCTCCCTTTTTCTTTCCCCCCATATGGAAAAGGTCTTCATTGGGTCTTGACCATTTGAACAGCATATAGAAACAGCCACCGGGCTCACACTTCAAGCCTGGCATTTTCCTCCAGCCCCACTGTGGGGTCTGAGCAATCGTCGCAGACAGGAGGGAAAACCGAGCTATGCACTGAAAAAGAAGAGAAAACCTGGAGAGAGGGATGTGTAATCTGGCTGTAAAAGGCTCCAGTGCTGGCCCAGGGCCTGGACCCTCAGAGACAGCCAGGAATGGCCTGAGACAGGAGCTGAAAGCAGCAGAGGCTGCTCTGCCAGTAACGCACAGAGACAGAGCCATTACTCTGGCCTGACACAGCTCATGAGCTTCTGGCTGTTAGAGAGGGTGGAAATGTTCCTGCTTGGTGCCAGGACGGCTGAGCTCTGTCAGAGGGCTGGGAAAGGAAACCCAAGGCTGGGGTAAAACATGCTGCACACTAAACTGGAGGTCTTCATCACTCTGATGGCGTTTGGAGTCTCCTTCATTCAGCTGTGGCTTTTGTTTTGGCTGCACATCTTTAAGGGAGAGGGATTTGGGATGAAAGGCATTTCAGATGCAGTACCAACAGCACCCCCTGAAATCCCTAATAACAAAGACAGAAGCAAAGCACATCGGGGTAATCCACACAGCCCTCTCTTTCTAAAGCTAGCCCTGGTAGACTGTAACAAGTCATCTGAGCTGGACTCTGGTTATGGAAAGGTAATGGTGGTGATGACACCTCCTTACCTTTATGCATTGGCTCTGTGCTGCCTTCAAGGGTCCAGTCTGGCTCCATCCAGAGTATCTGGTTCCTAGTGCAACCCTTGCTTAGGATCAGCATCAGTGTATTACATTAGTAGGGCATGGAAGACTGCCTGTTCTAAGACACAGCTTTCATTTCACACTTCAGTCAGAAAGGATGAAATGTGCAAGCTGCATCTCCTTGTGTTTGTTCTGCGGGATTTTGTTTGCTTGTTCACTTTTGTGCTTGTTTTTAATAGCCAACTTT